CGCAGTACGGACTCCGATGCAAAAAAAAATATTAGTGGGGAAAACGGTCGACAAAATGGAAAAGATGGGAGCCCAGAACTGAAGAGCAACGAGTCAGAGGATGAAAGTGCGAGCGGTACGCAACTCATAGAAGCTACGTCCACCGATGTGACGCCCAACAGTGATGGTGCGTCCGATGAGCCGGGGAAAGCAAGCGCTGTAGATCAATCCGGAAAAAAAACAAAATTGGAGGATCCTGTGGAAAAAACGACGACCACGACTACACAGGCACCAACCACGACCACGACGACAACCACTGCGCCAAAGGCACCAAGTACTACTACGTCTACAGAGGCGCCAACCACGACGACCACCCGCGCACCGTCACTTCAGCGCGAAATCGACGGCAGCCTCAGCAGCTCTGCGTGGGTGTGTGCCCCGCTGCTGCTCGCCGTATCCGCGCTGGCGTACACCGCTCCGGGCTGAAGAGGTGTGTGCGGGCTGTGCGTGCCAGCACTCAGCCGCGTGGTTTTTTGCGCGTCTGTTGTGGTCCGATGTACTTTATAAGAGAAAATAATGATTATGTTTTGCTTTACTTGCTTCCGCTGCTCTGCTGCGTGGTCCATGTTGCTGCTCCAAATCCGTCGCGTTGAACGCATCGCAGACACACTCATATGCACGACACGCTCACAACTGTTTTCGTGGACGCATTTTTGTGTGAGTGCATGCACACAGGATCCATTTGGTGGAGCTTTTTTGTGTGCTTCTACTTTTTTTACTTTATTGCTGTTTGCTGTTGTTTTTTGTTTTTAATTGTTTCTTGTGTGTTTTTCTCTGTTTAATTACTGCAGGGATGCGTGTGTTTTTTGTCCTCCCACTGATTCCAACTGCCTCATGGTATGTGCGCTGTGCTGCTGCCGTTTGTCACTTTGTGGTGACTGTGGCGTGGTGTAGCGGTCGTGTCTCTCCTTATTCTTGCTTTGCGTTGACGTGTTGTTATTTTGTGCTGAGGGCTACACGCAACTGACAGGAGTGATGGCGATGATGATGACTGGCCGTGTGCTGCTGGTGTGTGCCCTCTGCGTGCTGTGGTGCGGTGCTGCGGTGGAGGCGGAGGGTGATGGTTCTGGTGGAAGTGCTGAACTTTTGCCGAAATCACAAGAGCCTGAAAAGTCTCCAGAAGACACGCAAGACTTTGGACATGAAGCAGGAGGTCTTAAAGAAGAATTAACTCCCACATCTGCGGATGAAGATGATGAAGACGATGATGATGGTGAAGGGGCGGAAGATGAAGAAGAAAAACAAATAGAAGGGCCGAGTGGTGAAAAAGGAAATGCTGCACCAGACCCAGTTTCCGGGGAAAAGAAATTAATCGGCACCGAGCAGCAAACACGGCAATCAATTGTATCTGCAGAGAACACTCCTCTTTCTGGCAATCGGGAATCAAATGCCATTCTTACGCAAACGAAGATTGAAGGAACGAAGGACTCCGACAAAAATCCACCTGCGGTAGAGAATCCACTCACAACAGTTAACAGGGAGCAAACACTGCATGCGGAAGGAAATCTTCCACCACCTCAAGAAGGTGATGATTCCCGCGAACACGATGGCAAAGACACCACGAATGAAGATAAAAAAAATGTTCAGCCGCCTGAGACTGCAGCCACACCAACAAGCCACCGAGACAAAGGCTCAGAAGGGACTGGGGACGATACAAAAGCAACGACAGTAACCGCCAACACAACTGATACGACGAAGACACAAAACAGCGACAGCAGCACCGCGGTCTCCCACACCACCTCCCCTCTTTTGCTTCTTCTTGTTTTTGCGTGTGCTGCGGCTGCTGCTGCTGTGGTGGCCGCGTGAGAGTGAGGGAGAGAGAGCCGTGCACCGCCCGCACACACACTCGTCCTTCTCTCTCTCTGTGTGTGTGTCCCCTTGCATGGACTCTCGCCCTCACCTCACCCCACGAGGCACACACAATAATGTGCCCATTGTATATATGCATGCACACCCATGCAGGCCCGTTGGTGCTCTCTTTTGCACGACACGCACCGCTGGCGTCCTGCCTGGCTGCATGGGCGGAGCACCGTAACTGTTTCTGTTTTGTTTCCATTGCATTGAGTGGGCGACCTCTCTCTCTCTCCCTGTGTGTGTGTGTTTTGCTTTACGGGAGCAATGAGAGTGTGTGTGCGCTGGTCGTCCCACGCTTCGGCTTTTTGTTTTGTTTTCCTTTTTGTTTTGTTTTTTTTAATTGTTTTATTTGTGTTGTGGTTGAGTCGACCCATTATGTTCTTTTTTCTTTTTTTTGGATTGGTGGTTTGCTTAGAATGTGGACGCATTATTTTTTATTTTATTTTCTTTTTTCTTTTGTTGTGCGTTATTGTCAGTGTTTCTCATCCCTGTCAAGCAATTAATTGCTTTCCTTTACGTACAGCATGCGCCAATTGGTCACGTTAACCCACGGTCTGCAGTGCTGCTGGTGCTTGTGGTTGTGATGATGTGTGTGGTGTGATTGCCGAGAGGGAGTCCGTTGCCACCAGTATTCGTGTGGGCGATTGGGATGTTTCAGACAAAAAGGTATGAGATGTCTAATGCCATCTTCAGTGGCAAGGCACTCTGCTCTATATGGGCATGCGAGCCTGCCAGCTGCTGCACGATGGACCTCCACAGGGAGATCAGTTGTCGTGGTGGAGCCGTACAATAGTGCAGCGGATCTAGATGCGAGTTCGGCGAGAGAGGAAGAGAAGTCCATAATTCAAAATCATACGCTCCCAGAGAGGAGTAAATAGAATCAATAGCCATGAGCTTGACGCAGTCAGAGACGCCTTGGGCAAAGCATGGCTGATTAAATTCCACTTTATTGCAGCTCACAGTGTCCCAGGGGAAAATTCGATGTTGAATAGGAGGAGCACGATTGTGGCTGTGGAATATCCCAATAATATTACATACGCGGCGTAATTCATTAATAACAGCATCTCTCGGAAGCGGATCGATATCGCCGCTTTTCATGCATGGACGGCGGCATGGCCTCCAATCAGATTGCGCCACACACGTCCTTAATACATCGGAAAAGTGTGAGGCGTTCGTGTTGTGTGGTTGCACGGAACCCAATGTTCCTCCGCAGCGGTGCTGGATTGGCGGCCAGGTGGACAGAAGTATCCTTCTTTGCTGCGCGTGGGCCGAGCGATGCTGTGCAGCTGTCGCGGTGCCGCACTTCCAGGCCGTGGAGGTGAACGGGGACCGGACACGGTGCAATCGCCTCGCCGCCGTGGTGCAAAGCATTGTGGACGCATCCAACCAGAAGGGATCGCGTGGTCTGCCGGGACGTCCCAGCCTCTGCACCCAGCCGCAGCCTATGGCGGCGTGGCACGGTCCGCATCGCAGTCCAACTAAAGCATTGTTTTTTTATTTGCATTGTGGTGTGTGACGAAGGTGCGTAGGAGCTTCCCGATGTGGTTGGAGACTTGCGATTTTGAAGAATGCGTTGCAGTTGCGCAGCGTCTTTTTGAGGAGAAGGTGAGTGCCTGCCGCATTAATCAACAAACAACATTTCTGATGACAGCAGGAGGCATTGCGGTTTCTCCTTTTTTTGCAAAGCGAATTTATTGGACGGTGTGTTTGATTGGCAGCTTTTGTGGGAGAAGGTGGGAGGCTGAGGGCATGAGGACTGAATTCATTTAGGTGGCTGCGTTCCGTTGAATTTCGACCAGTTGCGGCACTCTTTGGGGTTTGGCAGCTCGTATCTTTTGTTTACTTCCCACTGCAACACGCGGACAACACTGATCCGAGGGACATTTGTCTGACCGCGTGTGGGCTGCTGCCGTGCGTGGTGCATGGACTATGTGATTGTGTGAGGAGGTGCATTGGGGTGACGAATACTTTTGTTTGGCGTGTCGCGGTGTGTCGGAATGATGTTCGGAAATCATGTGGAGGGTGTTTTTTGTGATTTGTGTGTCCTCTCTGGTGGAGCCGACATGTGTGCGGGATTGTGGCATTGCTGGCTGACAGCTCCACGTCACTTTTCAGCATTTCTGGATGTGCTGAGGAATGACGGCTGGCGACCAGCGTGTTGGTGCTGCTGGTGGGAATAAGAGCATCGGGAATAGGCCATTTTCTCTTTTCCATGCTGGAGCCGATGAACTGGCACGAGGGCACCGGCTGCGGGCTGCCTGCCAGCACGTGTGAGCAGCGGATCCATGCACACACCGACGCTCATCGCAAGAGCGTGTGCGATCACAGTGGCCTTTTTTGGCGTGCTTTCATTGACGTCATTCCGTCGCAGAATGTGTGAAGCAAACGGCTGACTGCACACGAGGAAAATAAGTGCGTGCACTGTGCCGTGTTTCATCGTCGATGGCAGAGCGGCAGGAAGCCCGTGCTGGCAACTGAGATCGTTGCTTCGCGAAGGATGTTGGTGTTGATTTTGGATCGTCGAGGGAGAAATGATTTTGCTGCTGCCCGTGTGTGTGGCCACTCCGGCAGAGGGCGGACGCAAAAGGGAGGGATGCAGGCGCTGCGTGTGTGTGTGTGCAGGTGCCATGCAACAACGTCACAACAAACATGCTGCGACTCGGTGACCCGCACATCGTTGTGGTCCTCACGAACAGCCGAGGCGCGGTCCGCATTGATGCACTCAGTGGACGGAGTGAGGCATCTTTTGCGCGCAGGGAGCAGGATGTGTTGACGCAGCCAAAACGTGCATGGAGTGTCACGATGGCACAGTCGGCTGTGGCTGATGGAATATTTACTTCTCAGAGGCAACAGAGAGAGAGAGAGAGCTGCTCCTGCTGCTGGCGTCGTTGCTGCCTTTTGTGGCCTCCCATGCCGATTATTGTCTGTCCGCTGATCATGGATGGCATGCCTCCACTAGTGACGTCGTCTGCAGGCATTTCACAGCACCAGTGAAACACACATCACGTCGCATGCTTTGGCTGTGGATGTGGTGTTGTGAATTCAGCCAGCATTATTTTGCCCGACTCCTTTTCACTGCATTGCGACGAATAGATGCGTCTCCGCCCGAGTCATTCGCTGCAGCTCCGTGTGTTGTACTGCCAGCACAATACTCTCCTGTTCTGACGTCTGGCTGACAGTCAAGCACCACAGCGTTGGGACATGCAAGGATGTGGACTGCCGCTCACGGTGTTGGGCACCGCTGTTTGGATGCGGCGGCCACACGAGCGGATGTATTGTGGCACAATCAAATGCGTGAAATACGCGGAATCACGGAGGCTGCAACAATATCAGCGGTGTGGCACCACGGAATATGTGAGGGGATGATGCATGATGAATCACAATGGGCGGCATGCGAGGGAAGTGCACCGCGAGAGAGCGTCACCCCGCCCTCAGCCTGCAGGGGAATGTACGCCCACAAAATATATGGACGAGGCACCACCAAACACACACGCCCTTCGATGCAGCAATAAATAGGAGCGAAGTTGCGTTCTGGTGTGTGGGAGTCCACTCACATATTCTCATTTCCACCGCAATAAACGGCGAGGAATCAGGTGCCACAGCAACGAAAGGAAATAAAAACATTTATTGCAGCACTTTACCAGCGAAAGGCAGGAACAACAAAAACCGAATTATTGGCTGCACCAACACAAGAAACATTCACAAGAGGACACAATTAATTGTGTACCTTGCAGAAATCCCCAACACACGACCCAGGCATGAAGGCTTGCCCTCTGCAAAAACAAAGATACGCGGACATCTGCCAACATTCAAAAAGAAACACAAATAAATAGTTTCCTGCACTCTTCCATTCCTTGCGCCGAATATGAACGACGGCCAAAGGCAACTGAAGTGTTGCTTTGTGATGAATATTGGCTAGCCTTCCCGTGGACCAACAATCCACGTGGTGTGCGGGGATCAACTTTTTAATTGTTACTTTGCTTTTGTGTTGCTGTGTGCTGCACCTCCTATTGTGTGTGTGCGTACCCTCCGTGAGGGGTGCCGACACGACGGACCGCTCTCGCCGTATTTGCATGCGGTGGAGCCTTGTGTGCCGCTCCTGTTTGCTTCTCCCTCTTCCATCTGTGTTTTGGTGTTGCGGCAGGGCTGTGTGTGTGCGTGAGTTGTTGTTGTTGGGAGTGACTGCGGTGCGGATGATGGTGCCACTCACTGTGGTTTGGTAGCGGCGCTTATTCTTTCACTCCTTTTTCTCTTCTCTCTCTTTCTCTCACACAAAGAAGGAAAGGAAGTAAGGCTAAACGCTAAACGCTACTGTGAAATTCGAAGGCACTGAAAGGACCAACAGCGTACACACACCGCCCACACACATATATTTATATGCTCTCACGTGTTGCTGCAGTGAAGGCACCCCGCACACACAACCGTCGCCGCGTGACCGGATCCGGCGGAAGGAGGAGGGAAGGAAGCGAGAGTGAGCCGCAGAGACCCAACATGTCGCGGCATCTCTTCTTTTCTGCATTGCTCCTCGTTCTTGTTGTGATGATGTGCTGCAACGCTGGTGGTGCTGCTGAAGCTCCGGAGCAGGCATCTGGTCCAAAGTATAAATGGAAGGACATCAAGGATGAGGGTAGTGGTGTAACTGTGGACTCGTTGGGTGCTCCCGGCCTTCTAAAAGTGGGGAGTCATGTGTTTGTCGTTGCCGAGGCGCAGTGCAAAAAGGATCCAAACAGCGGTTTTACTGGGATTGCATCCCAACTACTCTCGATGGAAACGGGTAACGAACGGAAGGAATTGCTGGAGGATGCCAAGGACACACAAGTCCTGGAGGCAGTCACTTCTGGAAAGGAGAACAAGAGAGTAGATGTGAGCCGACCAACAGCAGTTGTGGATGAAAGTAATATTTACATGCTTGTTGGAAAAAACAGCGGTGAAAATCTCGCTGAATGTAAGGCTACGACCGACACGATCAAATCAGGAATATTGCTGGTGAAGGGTGAGGTCGGTGAAGGCGGAAACAAAATAAATTGGAACGATACTGACGGTCTCCCGTGCGCTCTAGGCGACCAACACAACTCCCTGTCACAGCTGATTGTCGGCGGTGGATCGGGTGTCAAGCTGAAGGACAGTACGCTTGTGTTCCCAGTGGAAGCCACGAAGACGACGAAGGATAACGCAGAGAAGGATGGAAAGACCGTTTCGATGATCATATACACCTCGGATACTAAGAATTGGAATCTGTCGAAGGGGATGTCTGCCGATGACTGCAGTGATCCCTCCGTCGTGGAGTGGGGGAAGGAGGACAAAAAACTCATCATGATGACTGCGTGTGATGATGGCCGCCGCAGGGTGTACGAGTCCGGTGACAAGGGGGAGTCGTGGACGGAGGCCCTCGGGACACTCTCGCGCGTGTGGAGCAACAAAAAGGGTGAAGGAGAGAAGGGCGTTAGAAGCGGGTTCATCACAGCGACGATTGACGGTGTTGATAAGAGAAATGTGATGCTTGTCACTCTGCCGGTGTATTCCAAGGAGGACAGTAAAAAAGAAAAAGGTGAACTCCATCTTTGGCTGACGGACAATACGCACATTGTTGATATTGGGCCGGTATCCGGGAACGATGACGTTGCCGCCAGCTCCCTGTTGTACAAAATTGGGAATAATAATGAGGAGAAGTTGATTGCACTGTACGAGAAGAAGAAGGCCGGTGATGATGAGAAACCATCACTCGGTATGGTCTCTGTGCTTCTGACTGCGCAGCTGCAGCGTGTGAAGGATGTGCTGGCGACGTGGAAGAAAGTAGACGAACGTGTCTCCAAGCTGTGCCTCTCTTTAAATGTTGAGAAGGATACCTCATCTGGCACTGCCATGCCGACAAATGGACTGGTTGGCTTTTTGTCCGGCAACTTCTCTAATGACACATGGAGGGAAGAGTACCTCGGGGTGAACGCCACAGTGAAGAAGAAAGAAGGGGCAACAGCGTATGCGGATGGTGTGAAGTTCCAGGGAGCGTGGGCGGAGTGGCCCGTTGGCGCGCAGGGGGATAATCAGCTGTACCACTTTGCGAACTACAACTTCACTCTTGTGGCGACGGTGTCCATCGACGGTGTGCCGACGAAGGAAGGTAATATTCCGTTGATGGGTGTGAAGATGAATGGCGATGATAAGACTGTACTCCTGGGACTGTCATACAACAAGCAAAAGAACTGGGAAGTGTTGTCCAGTGGCACAGTGAATAGGGGGCAGAGCAGCACTTGGGAGCCAGGGAAAACACACCAAGTGGTGATTGTGCTACATAACGGCACACAGGGCTCTGCGTACGTCGATGGTCAGCGTGTGGGAAATGCGTCATGTGGATTGCAAAACACGAAGGATAAAGGGGTATCACACTTCTTCATTGGAGGGGATGTAAGCAGCGCAGGGAGCCAAGAAGGCGTGTCTGTGACTGTGACGAACGTCCTGCTGTACAACCGCCCGTGGAATGAAGAGGAGGTTGGCGCCCTAAACCCGAATAAAGAACCCATTACGTCTCCGGTGACCGAAAATGTGCCGGAAACCATGTTGCAGTCTCCTGCGAAACCACAGCCGTCGGAACAGGAAACGTTGACGACTAATATTGATGGTGTCGGTGGCGGTGTATCCAGAGCAGCTTCCATTGCTACGACGGTCTCGTCTGATGTTTCCCAAGAGGCGGCAACAGGGAGTGGAGATACGATGCTGGGAAATGGATCACCCCAAACTCCTGAGGTGGGCGCTAGCTCCGGTGAGGACGGGGAGACGGCGGAAGGAACGGATGGGCAGAAGGAGGACATCCATGCACAGTTCGGGGAAGTGAATGCTGCGGCACTCAGCAGCAGTCTCGGAAATTTGTCGCAGGGGAATAACAGCGATTCCGGCACTGTGCGTGGGAGCGGACTGCTGCCACTTCTGCTTCTTCTGCTGTTGGGACTGTGGGGGCTTGCGGCTCTGTGAGGATTGACTGGCTGCCGCGTGGGACACTTGCGGCCTTCCCTGCACCGACACACACGGCAATTAATTTATCTTCTTTAATAACTTTTATTTACTTTTTCCCTGTTTGCTTTGCTGTGCGTTTTTATATCCCTATTTCGTTGCTTTTTTTTGTTGCTTTTGGGGCAATCAATAAGGACGTTTTTTCTTTTCTACTCTTCCCTCTTTGTTTGTTGCTGCACTCTTCCTGAGGGGTGCCGTGTGATTCCCGCCCAACTGCTCCACTCGCACACCCACCGACACGCTCATGACGACGGCCCTGTGCGCCTCGCCTGCTGCACGCATGAGGGGCGGCGACGAACGGCGCGCTGAGGGAGCCGTGACGTGTAGGCGTGCGACGAGGGCCTGTGGGGCGGAGCACACATTTCTTTCCCTCTTGTTTTGTTTTCTTGCGGCCAGGGCGGGCAGACACCCGCAGCGCCACACACACAGCCACACCCTGCCGCCGTGTTTTTCTTTAAGGATTTGTTTTGCTTTGCGTGTTTATTTCATGCGGTGGCGCACCCTTCGGTGTCGGCCTCGTGAGCATTTCTCTCCCCTCCGATGATTTCTTTTCTTTTGCTGCGCTCACTCTCCCGATGGAGTGACGCGACTGCCGTCATGTCTGCGTGCTTCTCTCAGTCCCCACACACACGAGTGACTGTGCTCTGCGGGCCGCACTCACGCGCCGATGAGAGGGCTGAGGGGAGCAGCAACACGCAGATGGCCCCATGAAATATAAACGATGTGCGGACACACGGAGGGTCGGACGGTTGAAGCACACGCAACCATCCTTTTAATTTTCTTTTGCGGGCAAAATACATACAGACAGTTTGGTGTGGCCACACGGCAGCCAGGCGATCTTTTTCTCTTATTTTAAAATTGTGTGGAGAAGTAATGGACGATTTCTTTTCATTTATAATTATTTTGTGTGGTGGGGTTTACATAAGACGAAGGGGACGTTTTTTTGTTTTCAATAAATATTGTGTGAATTGCCGCTGCTTGGGCTGCAGTGCAGTCATGAGTTTGAGCGGTCTTCTTGTTGTTGTTTCCGTCATGCGTCTCCGCTGTGCATTTTTGCGTCCCTCCGCATACTCCGCTCCCTTTTTTCTAATATTTTGCTTTGTGTTGCTGCAGGCACACACAGCCACACACTCACAAGATGCACATTGCAGTGGATTTGAATGCACCTTTTGTAATGCATGCTGGCAGTTGCGATCTTTTGCTTCTGCTGCACTTCCGTGTGTGTGCTGCTGGGTGTCCTGGACGTGTTTCTGGTGATGCGGATGCGGTGGTTGTGCCGGTGGATGTGTCGTGTGCTCCGAGTGACGGCAGCCTGAGATACCGCGTGCATGTGTGTGAGTGGAAGTGGAAGAAGTGTTCCGCTGCCGGTGCTGAGGCTCAGCATGAGAATTACACTTTCAGTGGCTTTGGTGTGCGCATGCATGGCAGGAATGGTGAGCTGGGTGCTGTGTGCCATGTGGCCAATGCGGTGCACACATGTAGCAACTGTGCTGCCAGCTGTACAAGTAAAGAGGAAGGGGCCACCGTTGCCTTCACGATGAATGTGACGGTGCATAAATACGCCGGCCCTTATGAATTGTGGTGGCGTCTATTTCTCCCGATGGAACCATCCATCCGCCTGCACGGAGCAGCGATGCTGACCGTACGGGCATCTGTCAGTTGCCGCCACCCCGTGAAGGGAAGGATGACACAAAATCTGGTGGGACAACTGCGCCGCAATTGAATGCTGAGTCCTCACGTCAGAAAGAGGATTGGCGACAGTCTGCGGCGGCTGACGCACCCAACACCGTTGATCGGAGTCCCGCATCTAACACGGCGACCAACACGTCCGTGACGAAGCCTGAGTTTGCCTTTGTTCGGAACACAAAAGTGACTCCGGCACCACCCGGAAGGAGGCCCACGCCTGTCACCGAGCCGCAGGGGGATCCTGTTGATGATGCAATGAGTGGTTCAATAAACGTTGAGTTACTGCAGGGAGTCGATCTATTTGTGCCGCAGACGACGCTGGTGCAGCCGAAGGATGGGATTTTTCCAGTTACGACGAGGGATTCAATTGCTTCACCCTCTCTCGTCAGTGCTGGTGGTGTAATTGGTGCTTTTGCCGAGGGTCACATGGATGCCGAATATCAAGGTGGTCAATTAAGTAAGCCCTTTTCTTCTGCTTTTGTTGCGGGGTGCATCGACTCTGCGTGGAATTGGTCCACTGCTGTTGGTGAGGTCAATGAAAGGATGCATGGAGGACACACACTGTGGTTGGTGCAGCGGAGGGAGAGGAGAGTTTGGGTGTTGTGCTCCGCCGCGCAACAATCACGAAGGGCAACGGAGTTTTTCCTCCTGCGGGAGGCTCTGATGTGTCCTACGAAGGTGTGTGTTGGAGAGAGGACGGCTTGGAGCCGAAACTGGTTGTGGGCGATGTCACGAATCCCACGGGTGGCAAGCGGAGTGGACGGATCGAATGTGGCGACCCCAAACCACTCTCGAAACTGATCTCTTCTGCTTCTCACGAAGGGTGAGCGGACGGAGTTCATTGCTTCTGGTGGCTCAGGTGTTGTGATGGAGGATGACACGCCTGTGTTTCCTCTGATGGCGAAGAATGAAGCAGAAGACGTTTGCTCCATGATCATTTGCTCGACGGACAGCGGCAGTGCCTGGGCGCTCTCTGAGGACATTTCCCCTGCGGAATGCCTTAACCCCGCGTCACCGAGTGGGAGGGATCACTTCACATGGTTGCTGACTGCGGGAGTGGCCAGAGGGTGTAGGACTCGCGTGACATGGGGACAGCGTGGGCGGAGGCCATCGGGGCACTCTCAGGCGTGTGGGTCAACGCACGATCGGAAGTCTCGCAGAAGGAAAGCCTGCATGTGGATGCCCTCATCACCGCGACCATTGAGGGAAGGAAGGAAGGTCATGCTGTGCACTCAGAGAGGGCATGCCTCGGGGAAGAAAAGGACCACTGCGCACTGCCTTTGGGTCACGGACAGCAACCGCACGTTTTCTGTTGGACCGGTTGCCGTGGACAATGCTTCAAGGTGGAAGACAGAACTGAAGGACTGCGGTATGTAATTTTATTTGCCTTGTCCCTCTTGTTGCTGCCGTTTGTGTGCGGGTGAGTGAATGGAAGGAGTGGAGATGTGCGAGGGAGTAAGGGTTGCCGTTGTTTCCGCACATGTGGTCTTCCACTCAAAGGTGAAACCACTCGTCAGCCTCTTGCAGCACCAGGCTGTGGACTGAGAGGATGGGAGGTCCGCTCCAACCACAAGGACAACGAGATGCAGTGCGTGACGGTGAGGCTGATCCGCGTGTGGTTGCAGCGCATGGAGCACGTGCGCGAGTACGCGTTGTGCGTTGTGCTCATGATTGGGGCAGAGTGGCGGCACGACATTGTGGCGCTGTGTGTATTGTGCGTGGCGGTGGCATGCCGGCGATTGTGAGGGACGTGGCGGACACGGAGCTGTCGGTCTGAGGGAGGAGGTGGCGGACGTTGCGGCGCAGCGGGAGCGCATGACGGCTGCGTGTGCTGGGAGGGCCCGACGATCCCGAGGCCTGCACTGGAGGGGCGCGTGCTGAAGTGAGCGTGGCGAGCATGTGAAGGTCTGAGGAGAGAGAATAACAGTAATAGTGACTGTGGGTGTGAGGAAAGATGCACGGGAGGGGATTAATTCTTTTGTTGTTGTTTTTTGGTTGTTGTTGAACCGCGCCCAACTAATTGTTGTTGTGGTGCGTGACTCTCGTTGCTGGATGGGACGGTGCGTGTTACTGTGTGACTTGTCTCTCCTTTTCGTTTCACTCTGCGTTGGCGTGTTGTTAGTTTGTGCTGAAGGCTACACGCAAGTGACAGGAGTGATGGCGACGATGACTGGCCGTGTGCTGCTGGTGTGTGCCCTCCGCGTGCTGTGGTGCGGTGCCGGTGGTAGGTGTGACGATGAGGTGGTGGAAGCTGCTGCTGGCGGTTTAATTGGGACTGCCGGTAAAGGTACGGTGGAGACTTCTGGAACTTCAACGCCAGGACTGGACGGCTCAGATCTAACAAAAGGTTTGCCCAAGGTTAATCAACCAACGGAAACATCTACAGGAAAATCGTTGGAAGTAAATAAAGTTAATGCTGATCAACAGGATGTTGCTCCTGGAGTGGGGGTTGAAGAAGATGGAAGCCCTTCAGACCATTTAGAAGAACCATTGAAAGATGATCCAGAAAAAGGAGAAACAAAGCCAGAAATACAAAATAAAGGGCAGGAAGGAAGAGAACCGCCACAATTGCAAGTAACTGTACCACAGCAACCGCAGCCACCACTGCAACAGTCACAAACGCAACTGCAGCTGCAGCTACAACCTTCTGCTTCAGAAAAGGGTGAAGGTGTCGGCAAGAACAATAAGGGTGGAGAAGGTCAGCTCTCATTGGGAGTAGAAAATAAGGGAAACGCGGCTCCAGAGGCCCCCAGAAAAGAGGACTTATTAGAGGGTTCAGGTAAAGAATCAGAAAGCAGTGAACAGGTCCAAACGACAGTTCCAAACACAGTACCGCCGGAGCACAAAACCCAAAATGGAATGTTAACTCCGGAACAAAAGACGAATGAAAGCCAAGGCACGGATACATCCACGAACCTACCCGAACTACAAAAGGAAAACAAGGAATACTCTGCCTCTACGAAAGGTACGGCGCAGAGTACATCAACTGGCAGTCAAGAACAAGAAGCTGAGCCATCTACAAGCGAAGAACCTTCCCCTTTTGAGGAGGAACACTCCACAGGGACGAAGAAAACTAAGGATGCTCGAACTACGGATGCTGCAGCGACAGAAAAACGCCAAACTGGCGCTAATGAAAAGGTTGGCGACAGTGACGGCAGCACCGCGGTCTCCCACACCACCTCCCCTCTTTTGCTTCTTCTTGTTGTTGCGTGTGCGGCTGCTGCTGCGGTGGTGGCCGCGTGAGAGTGAGTGAGAGAGCCATGCACCGCCCGCAC